GCGGGGCCCGTGCCCGGGCTTCCCGGGCCTCCTCGCCGCCGCCCGCCCTCCTCGAGTGCGTCTCCGAAGGGCCCCATCCTAGTAGCTCGCGACCGTTAAGTGTTCCGTGCGCCGTCCCGAGCGCTCCCTGTGGACACGCAGCTAAGTTTAGCCAGAGTTTGTCCGTCCACCTGCTCGCGCGAAGCCCGCTGGGCCAGTGAGGTGGAATCCCATCTCCTCCCCCAGGATCCTTCAGCCGTGCCTTCCGACCCCCGCGCCGCAAACCTGATGGGTGTTTGCTGCTGCCCGGAGGGTCTTGGTAGGAAACGCCCAGTCATTAATGACACTGCCTGAGCGTCTGTTTGGACCGCATTTTCATGTTGCACTACCAATTAATTACCTGATGGTTTCTCATTTCCCCTATTAAAGGACCACATTTTCATCTTGCACTACCAATTAATTACCTGATGGCTTCTCATTTCCCCCATTAAAAGCCTGGCTGGTTGGATTAGATGTTTGTTCCCTTCTGGAATATTTCCCTAACTCCTCCCATCCCTCGTCCTCCACCCTTTTGGGGGACATCTTTACCCAGGTCAGTGATTTACTTTGCTTGTTTCCTTACAAGAGGAATCTCCTTAAATCGCTCTGTCCAAGGGCTTCCTATAGAATTGGGAACTCAGTAATGAGTGGTTTTTTTCCCCCCTCGAAATCGACGACTAGGTTTTAGGTACACCTAAGACTTGATCTTCCTCCCCCCACCCCCCAGTCTGTGTCCTCAGCAGTAGCATTTGCTGAGCATTGTCGGCTCATTTTGGGTTTTTTTGGTAATCACACATTCAAACAGGAAGTGAGCTGGTTCACATCTGCTGCCAAGCGTCTCTCTCCATTTGACTGTCCTTCCTGCTGACAGACAGTGTGCCTACAAAGAACCTTTGGGAACCAGATCAGAACACTGGCATTTGACTCAGGACAAGACTTTTATTCATGTATCTTGTGTGTGTAGCGGGATCTAAGGGATCATCTCTGTTAACAGCCAGCAGGTTGGTCCTGGTTCATGGTGACCCAGGGCCAGCAGAGTGACCGGCTCCTCTTGATGGACTGGAGAATCGGACCCTTGAGACCCAGAGGGTTTTCTCTGGCTGCTTTTCAGAAGTAGACGCTCAGACCTTTCTTCTTATTCTGAGTCTGGAATCTCGGCTGGAACCTGTTCAGCACTCAGTAACATACGCCGAGACCAGCTTGGAGACTTGGTGGCCCTGTGTACAACAAACTGAAACACCGCCCTCTCCTGCGCAAGCCCCGCAATTGTTCCTGTGTCCGAGCCTTTTGCAGCCACGGAGTCAATCTGTCTCATTGAGGGCCTTTCTCTTTCTCTGTCCCTCTACTTTGCCAAGCATAATGTCCTTCTCCAGGGACTGGTCTCTCCTGGTAGCACGTCTATAGTATGTGAGACAAAGCCTCACCATCAGGAGCACTGTGGCTGTGATTCCAAGACAGATTTGCTTGTTCTTTTGGCAGTCCGTGGTACTTTGAATAGTCTTTGCCAGTACCATCATTCAAATGTATCAGTTCTTCTCTGTTTTGGTTTGGATTTTTAAAAATTCATTGTCCAGCTTTCACATACCTATGAGGCAATTGAAACTTACCCTGGCTTGGGTTAGGTGCACCTTAGTACACAAAGTACATTCTTGCTCTTCCATACTTTAAAGAGGTCTTGTGCCACAGATTTACCCAATGCAATTGTCATTTCATCTCTTAACTGCTGCTTCCATGTGCATTGATTGTGGATCCAAGCAAGGCAAAATCCTTGACCACTTCAATATCTTCTCCATCCCCTTTTCTGAAGGAAAAAATGGTAGTAATGTAATAGTTTGTCAGTTGAATATTAAGAGTGTAGGGGTGGAGTCTAACCTGTCAATCAGATCATAGCCAATGAGGCCTCTGTGTGGACATGGCCTTCTCCTGAGAATTCTGGGAAATCCTGTATTTCTTCCTTGGAGGCAGGAGACACTTCTCGGCTGACTTCCTGGAAGACACTCTACTGACAGACACATGGAACTACGCTAGTGCCATTAGCTGGAGAAGCCACGTGGAGACCCCCTGCCAGTGCTGAGATGCTTACAATGCCACTGGATCCAAAGACTTCGCACCCACTGGCCTGTGATCGTCCTGCATTCAGTGTCATTGCATGTGTTTCATAAGTCTGAAAAGGACTTTATAGATCAGTATTGGACATATGGGCTGATAATGGACTTATGGGCTTGGACTTGACTGGGTTGGGGTGCTTTCTTAATGTAGAATTACCCTTGATATAAAACTCTCTTGTACACATATGAGTGTCAATGGATTTGTTTCTCTAGTCTACCCAGAATAACACAAAGTATTCAGTGCTCTCCTGGCAATGAAAAAAACTTTTGTACTGCAGCCCCTAATCCAGGATAAAGTGTGGGTATCTGCTTCTGCAATCCTCCACCCCCACTCCAGTCATTCCAGTGCCCCTGCCAGGTCCAGTCCTTTAAAGCAACCTTGCCCAGGGCTTGGGCCATACCTCCTCCAGAAGGCAGGTGAGGCGCAGCGGGGACAGCAGGGGGCATCTCGCCTTGCTGCTGATGGGGTCTTCAAATGAAGCCTTGTTTCTTCACATCTCTGGGTTCCTGCAGAGTCTGAGAAGTTCTCCACTCCAGGGCTAACTGGTCTAGCTGGGTCTTTCAGCCTTCTCAGCTCCCTGACCATCGTCATGTTAACAATGGTATCCTTCCTTACCCCCCACCCCCCCACCACACACACACACACACCTACCTCTTGGAGCTCCCAGGGGAATAGGGATCACATCACATCATGTGCATCCTTTATCCCTGTCGTTCCCTTATATAACAGATCTTTTAAGTATCTGTGGAACTTTGGAAAACAAGTGAAAACGGGTCCCTACCCATGTCTGAAGATTCTGTGTCCTTCATGCTGGTGTAGCCTACAAGGTCCAAGGGCTTTAGCGCACTAGCTGGGGAAAAGTGGCAAGTAGCGGGGTCTGAACCAAAGGCATGTGGTATCCAGCAGTCCTTTCAGAAAAGGATTATTGGTATCTTCAGCTGCCTCATATGCTTGTGAAAGTTGGACATTGAATAAGGAAGACATTGAATGATGGTGCTGGCGAAGACTGTCTAAAGGACTGTGGACTGCCACAAGAGCAAGCCATGCTGGCCTGGAAGAAGGCTGGCCAGAGTGCTCCTTGGAAGCAAGGATGGCAAGACTTGGTCTCACGTGTTGTGGCCCCGCTATCAAGAGAGGCCAGTCCCTGGAGGGTGTCACCCTGGTAGAGTGCAGAGGCCTAACAACGAGCAGTGCCCTCGGGGAGATGACTGACAGGTGGCTGCAGCAATGGGCCCCAAGCAGGAACAATTGTGAAGACAGCCCAGGACTGGGCGGGGCTTTGTTCTGTTGTCCACTGGGTCTCTGAGTTGGAACGCCCCTGCAGCACCTGATAACAAAAGGGAAGGCATGATTTGATAGAGCTGTATATATAAGGCATTCCAGATGGAAGGGAGGGTCCCCTGAGAGACAGGAAAACACAGCTTGTCAACAGAGAATCCCCTCTGTGGCTTGATCAGTTCTAAGAAATGTCTTTCTTTTAGGGAGAAAAAATGGGTGACCGTGGGTGATACGTCCCTGAGGATATTTAAGTGGGTTCCTGTGACAGACAGCAAGGAGGTAAGTGTGGAAAAAAGGCAAAACAAAAAAAGTCAACTTAAACAATGTCTCTGTCTCAGTTGTGAAGACTGGAACAGAGCATGCACACTGGCAGGCACCCTCTGTCTACCCTTGGTCCCTGCGAGGCCCCTCCGGCCATACGTCCCTGTCTGCCCCTGCCACTTCTCCGAGTCTTGGCACACTCCCGGCCCTTCTCGATCCCTTCCCTGGGCAGGTCAGTCTAGTTCTCCTGGAACACAGCTGAGCCCATTGCTCTTCTCATTGTCTGTGGTCACCATTGAGTGACAGCGGCAGAGCTGAGCAGTTGCCGCAGCGTCCTAATGGCCAGCGAACCCTGGCACTTTCAGAGTCCTTGGGTGGCACACATGGGTAAGCCCACCCCAAGGCACCACGGAGGACAAGCCCGTGTGTGCTTCCTTACAAAAGGGCACTCACGGCCTGGGAACCCCCCAGAGCAGTTCCTCTCTGCTCACATAGTAGCAGCACGAGTGGGACCAACGAGCTCAGTGATGACTAGCAGCAACCGCCGGACTAGACGAGAAGGTTCTGAGCAAGTCTGCCGCTCAGATGCTGTCTGTCTGTCCGCCTGCCTGCCTGCAGTCCGGTCCACAGCCTAGCCCGTGGGAAATGTAGGCCCGCTTGCTGAATGGAAGTCGAGAGCAGGGAGCTGAGTGGTGTCTGTATGCATTCCTTTCTGATTGATCTCTTGTGGGTTTGCTTGGTTCTGTTCACATGACCCTTCCGCATCACCAACCACTTCCGCAGCAACAGCGCTCTCTGGCCCCAGCCACCCAGAGTTGAGTCTCTAGTTAGATCACTGCCCTTGCAGCCTCTGCAGGCAGGCCAAGGCCAGCCCCTCTGCTCTGCTGGTTCTCCCCGCCCCAGTCAGAGAGTACCGGACCGGCCAGGCCCTTTTCAGGAGCTGGTCACAAAAGCTCAGTCTCGTCCTTTGTTCTGTGTGGGAAGAAGGAGCAGCATAATGCTCCTTGCAGACATACGCTTGGACACGCGGTCAGGAGAGGCCAGTCCCTGAGGAAGGACGCTGTGCTTGGTGAAGTAGAGGGTCAGTGACAGAGGAGCACAGTGGCTGCCATGGCGGGCTGCAACACAGCAGCAGTTGTGAGCCTGGCACAGGACCTGGCAGGTCACGCTGACCTACGTGGGGCCTCTGTTGGTCGGAACTGATAACTGCACCAGGAGTCCTGGGGGCGGAGTGGTTCCACCTTAGGTGGCTAACTGCATGGTCCACCCACTCCCTTCTGCTCGCGGAAAGCGTGACATACAGTCGGGGCACTCACAGGGGAGTTCGACCCTGCCCTACACGGCCGCTCTGAGCGCAAAGACTCGCTGGACGAGCCACAGCAGTGCGTGTTGCGCAACAGGTGTGTGCTTTTTCCTAAATTACAGCCCGAGACGGGACCTGCTGGGCTTCCGGTGTATATTTGACCTAATACTATTTAGTGTTTGGGAGAAAGATGAAGCTTTCTCTGTGGCCGTAAAAAGTTGCAGTGTGGAAAACCGACCCCGGCAGTTCTGCGCTGTCCTGCCGGGGGCCTGTGAGAATCAACTCCTGGGTTAGTTAACGATGAGCTGCTTTCCAAGTGACCGTGCCAGTGTACCGTCACCTGAAACTAGGAGCGGGCTCCCTGGGGTTTCACTTTGATGGCCTGTTTGCATCATCACTAACGAGACCGAGTGCCTCTTCAGTGTTCATTAGCTGTCCAGGGCTGGGTTTCAAAAGGAGCAAAACCAGGGACATCCGTTTCAGGGAGCTGTCGAGCTTGTCAGGCTAGAAAGTTCTGACCGGTGATACTGGGCTGTGGCGGTAGCCCAGCATCTGAGGTCAGGGATGGAGGAGCGGTACGTACCGACTGTGCCTTGCTGCCCCAAGTGAGGAGGTCTTCAGGCACTTGCTGATGTGGATCGAAGATTGCAGGCTTCCGTGTGGGTCATGACTCATTGAGACCAAGAAGACCCAAGTCCTCACACTGGTCACGTCATGGTAAATGGAGAAAAAGTTGAAGTTGTCAAGGATTTTGTCTTGCTTAGATTCTCAATCAGTGTTCATGGAAACAGCAGTCAAGAGATCAAAAGAGGTGTTTCATTAGGTACATCATCATCCCATATGCATGTGAAAATTGGACATTGAATAAGGAACACCAAAGAAGAAGAAGCTATGTATTTTAATTGTGCTGGAGAAGAAAATTGAAAGTACCAAGGACTGCTAAAAGGACAAATCCATCTGTCTTGGAAGAAGTACGGTCAGAGTGCGCCTTAGAGGAGCAGGGGATGGTAGGACTCTGTCTTACTTACTTTGGATACATTGTCAGGAGAAGGACATCATGCTTGGTAGAGGGCCAATGAAAAAGAGGACAGTTCTCAAGGAGAGAGATTGATTGACATACTTTGTGTGACCACTAGCTCAGGCCAAGGGACAGCTGTAAGGATGTGGCAGGACAGTGTGCATAGGGTCATTGTGAGTTGGACCTGGCTCGATGGCACCTAACAATGTCCACCCAACCCCTGGGAACCGTGGTCTTGTCCAGATGACATTAGCCATCGCTAATTAGCCATTAGTCCATCTTCTGAACTTCCTCTTTTAGGGAATGCCCATTTAAGTCTTTGGCCTACTTTTCTATTTGTGGTCCTTCTCTTCCGACTTGCCTGGAATTCTTTGTTCAGGACACAAATCCTTTAGTGACTCAATGGTATCAGTATTTCTGTCTGTGGTGCCTTCGATACGACTAAACCAGTCAGAACCTGTTCCCCTGCAGTGGATTTCCACTCATGGAGACCAGCTAGGTCAGAGCGCATTGCCCTATTGGGTTCCCAGTGCTGAGAATCCTCTACCGAGGCAGACCAAAGGCCGCGTGTTTCTCCCACATGCTTTTGGTTGGCAGCCGAGCGCTTCAGCCACTGCACTAACAGGCCTCCTTTCTAGCAGAAAAGTATTATCTCCTGATAACCACTATTAAACTTCTTTCTTTTACATGCATTTGTACAAAGCTAGTTTGATGTCTGAAGGAAGTCAAGAAGTATGGCTACAATTCCTAGTAATCGTTATGAAACCAAGACCACAAAAATGTGAAGTTAAGGTTGCCCAACATCTTTTCACTGCAGGTGGGCAAGGCTGAAGAGACAGGCCAGGACTTGCGGGGTGGGTTGGGAAAGGTTTCCCAGTGAAACGTGCTAGGGCAGCTCTTGCTGTCCTCGAAGAATGAGCAAGTCCGTTGTCATGCCGGGGAACAAATTCTTTCATGAGCTTTCCTGGGGTCCCTCCATGGGGTTTCCAGAGTTGTCATCTTGACAGAGCAGGTCAGCTGGTAGGTTCGAACCACCGACTCTTCAGTTAGCAGCTGAGTGCTTTGTACTACGCCACCAGGCCTCCTTCTGGAGTAGTCTACAGCCTTGCAGAGTCATGTTCATAAGACTCCTGGGTAGGAGGCAGTGAGGGAGGGGGGTGGTAGACAGGTGTTGACTGAGTGAAGGGGGAGGGCGCTGGGGGTGGGAAAAGAGGGCTTGGGGAAACAGTAAGCCATCCCATCGGGAGGCTTGAGAAGTTGTTTGAGTTGTTGACTGCAGAGATGATGGTCTCCTCCAGTCACAGTAAGCAGGGGTTTTAGATTCACTTATTTGGCATGCCCAGCAAACCGGTACCGGGTCTGTGATGACGTGACGATGATGTCTGCCTATGAAAAGAGGGAGCAGTGCCACCAGTGTGGCTTTCTTGCTGAGAGGAGATTGAGCATTATCAACTCCAACGAAGTGGTGTGTCTAGTCCCTGTGTCAAGGCTACACAGAGGCCTAGAGGTATGAGGAGGTCCATTTGAGCTCCGCCTGATGGAAGCTTCTGGCTTTTGGATGTTCTCGTTTGCAGTGCTCGGATGGGTCACTCCCTCAGCGCTGGGCGGGCATGCTGGTGGCTCCTCAGGACTTTCAGTGTCCCCTGCCCATGTCACTTGCATCCTGCAGGAGAGAGTTGGCGCTGTAGGTGAAGGTGGCCAGGTGGGGCTGATGGATTAGGGCTAGAGTGCGCAGGGCCTTCTGGCCGCAGCCCGCCTTCCCGTGTCCAGCCAGCAGCCCAGTCTGTTCTCGCTTTCTGCTTGCCCTGCTCTGCTCCTAAAACAGGACTTTTCTCACAGGAGCGCTGCGTGGTTCTCGCCCAGTCACCGAGGGGAGCGTGGGTAGTGTGTGGCCAAGAGTGGGAAGCTGAAGGGAGGCCACTGGGAGCTTTAGTGCAGTCACGTAGCTGTCTCGGGGGTCGCACGGCATCAGGTTGACACCAGCAGGGTTCACTGGAGGGCCAGACGTCAGGGAAGGCGCCACTGCCCAGAGTCTTTCCTTGACGCCCGTGTTCTCCCTGGCCCAGGCCAATGCAGACCTAGGGTCTCGCAGACAACACCCTCTTCCCTAGCTGTGGGTCTCTCCTGCTCGGCTCTGTCACATTCTTCTTTTTTTCCCTTTTAGAAAGAAAAGTCAAAATCAAACAGTTCAGCAGCCCGGGAACCTAATGGCTTTCCCTCGGATGCCTCAGCCAATTCCTCTCTCCTCCTTGAATTCCAGGGTGAGTTGCATCCATGTCTTCCTTGCAGGAAAATGGCCTCTTAGAGCAGCAGTTCTCAACCTGTGGGTTGTGACCCCTTTGGGGGGTCAAATGACCCTTTCACAGGGGTCACCTGAGACTATGAGAAAACACACATTTCCGATGGTCTTAGGAACCCAGACACCGCTCCTGTAGCTGTCTCCAGGCGTCCGCCCCCATGCAGATACGCCCACCTACGAGTACCCGGCATGATGACATCATCGTGCCAACCCCGTCACTTACACCCCATACAAACACAGGTGCATACAAACACAGGTGTATGTGACAGGGTTGGCTCCATAATATACTTATGTGGACCAGTCACACATGTAGAGAGTAGTGACTGTGTAGAAAGCAGTGGCTGTGTTGAAGCATCAGGATTGGAGGTTAAATGACACTTCATGAATTATAATTACTGGGTAAATCTGAAATCATGTACTGTAAAGTCATCAACTACTACAAATATATATATATGTATATGCTGGTCGGTCTTTTTATATTCAGCTGTGGTTGATGTGAATACTGCCCCCCTTGTGATAGTAACAGGTATGTAAAAAGAAACAACAGAATGGTAAATCATAGGAAACTTTAATGAACTGTATTGACTGAACTAAGCCATGTATCATCTTTTGTATTATTAAAGCTATTGTTGTATATTATTTTCATTAGCAAACCATCTCATGACAATGGACCGTGTAGAGAAGAACGTTAAGAAAAGAAAATATAGTGAGGATTTTTTACAGTATGGTTTTACCTCAATAATTACAGCAGGAATTGAGAGACTGCCATGTGTTATTTGTTGTGAAGTTCTATTAACTGAATCTATGAAGCCGGACAAACTCAAACGCCATTTTGATAGCAAGCATCCGAGCTTTGCTGGTAAGGATACCAAGTATTTTAGAAGCAAAACTGATGGACACAAGAAAGCCAGACTTGACACTGGTGGCAAGTACCCAAACAAAACGAAGCAGCCGTTGAAGCTTCGTATTTGGTGGCACTCAGAATGGCCAGAGCTGTGAAACCTCACACCATTGCTGAGGATTTACTGTTGCCAGTGGCCAAAGACATTGTTTGAGTTATGATCGGAGACGAATTTGTTATGAAATTGAGTGCAATTTCCTTATCTAACGACACTGTCCACAGAAGAATAGATGACATGTCTGCTGATATTCTTGATCAGGTCATCCAGGAAAGGAAAGCTGCTCCACTTCCAATATTTAGCATCCAGTTTGATGAATCTATAGACGTTGCAAACTGCTCAGAGTTACTGGTTCACGTGAGGCATATTAATGATGGTGACTTTAAAGATGAGTTTCCTTTTTGCAAACCTCTTGAAAAGATGACTACTGCACATGATGTATTTGACAGTTCATTTCTGAATGAACATAAGATCTCTTGGGAAAAGGTTTGTGGTGTTTGCACAGATGGTGCTCCAGTTATACTAGGAATCTGGATTTCAACGTTTAACACTGAATGAGTCACTGAAAGTTATAGGAACTCACTGTATGATTCATCGGCAAAGATTAGCAACGAAGATGCTGCCACAAGAGTTACAAGAAGTAATGAAAGGTGTCATAGTTCTGTCAATTTTGTAAAGGCGAGCACTTTAAACAGTCGACCGTTTTCGCAACTCTGCAATGATTGGATGCGCTGAATAATGCTCTGCTATTTCACACTGAAGTGAGATGGTTTATTGAGAGGAAGTTTTAAAATGTGTTTTTGAACTTCATGATGAACTCAAAATGTTTTTTAATCAGAAAGCAAGACCGCATTTCGAAGCACTTTTCAACGATAAAAGTGAACTGCAGAAATAGCTTACTTGGTTGACATTTTTGCCAAGTTGAATGAGTTAAATTTATCACTGCAAGGACCAAATGCAACGTGCCTCGATTTGTCTGAAAAGATCAGATCATTCCAAATGAAACTTCAGCTTTGGCAAAAAAATTCGGTGAAAATAAAATTTACATGTTGCCTACCTTATCTGCTTCTTTGAGGCACATGACATTGAACCAGACAAAAGGATTACAATGATAATTTCTGTGAAAGAACACTTGCACATGCTTGCAGACCAGATCTCATTGTACTTTCCAAATCTACCTGACACCCCACTTGCACTTGCCAGAAGCCCGTTCACAGTCAAAGTGGAAGATGTTCCTGAGACGGCACAAGGGGAGTTCATTGAACTTACTAAAGTGATGCAGCGAGAACTGATTTCTCTACAATGTGTTACAAAATTCTGGATCAAGTGTTTGCAGTCATATCCTGCTCTGTCTGAGACTGTGTTGCGCCTTCTTCCATTTCCAACAACATATCTTTGTGAACCAGGGATTTCCAGCTTGTTGGTTATCAAGTCTAAATACAGAAGTAGATCTGTTGTGGAAGATGATCTTCGTTGTGCCCTTGCAAAGACTGCCCTGAGAATTTCTGATGTGGTGAGAAAGAAGCTATCTCAACCTTCACCCTGATGTTGACTTTTTATGCATACTGTGGCAAAATGTAGCAATGTAGTTTACTGTTGTTATATTGACTGTTACCCATGCTTCAAGACAAAATTTCATTTATTTTACAATTAGAAATATTTCATTATTTTGTAATTAGAAATAAATATTTCACAGTATATTATTACTTCACAATATATAATTATTTCACATAGTTTTGTGATTAATCACTATGCTTTCATTATGCTCAATTTGTAACAAAGAAAATACATCCTGCATATCAGATATTTACATGACGATTCATAACAGTGGCAAAATTACAGTTATGAAGTAGCAACAAAATTTTTTTTTTTCAAAAATAATTTTATGGTTGGGGGGGGTCACCACAACATGAGGAGCTGTATGAAAGGGTCACGGCATTAGAAAGGTTGAGATCCACTGCCCTAGAGGAACCTTTTGAGAAGAAAAAGAATTCTGTGAATCAGTCAAGGGCCTGATTTGGCTGGTGTTTTGCTAAGCACCTTACCTGCTGCCTTCCCTGTGAGCCTCCCCAGAGCCCCACCAGCCCACTGGTGGGATGCTCACTTTCCAGAAGTCCCTAATGCCCCATAACTCAGAAGTGATCCTGTAAGCTCCTGGATCCTCAGGATCCCACAGCTTTGTTCTTTAGATCATCTGTGAGATGACAGGGCCCCAGAAGAGCCTGTCCACTGGAATCACGCCACCTAACTCTGTCTTTGAGTGAAGGCCCTCTGGGTGCTGGCAGGGCCATCATCCCCTCTCGCCTCCCAGGAAGTGTGAGTCCTGAGCTCAGGCTTCTCTTCCTGTTAGCCTGTGACAGAAACCGGACCAGTAGCGTTTTTCCTATTAGGAGAACCGGATCACCAGAGAGGAGCACTCCCCAATGGTGCTGTGATTAAAGGGGAAGATCAGATCAGTGGTTCCAGGCCAAGGGGACAGAGGAGGCCACCTGCTTCCATGAGGGCGTCCATACAACCTTGGGCACCCTCTGGGGCAGTAGTCCTCTGTCCTTACAGGGTCCCTGGCAATCAGGACTGACTCGAGGCCAGTGAGTTGGGCCTATGTGATGCTCCCACCGAGCACAAAGGGACAGAGCTGTGTTCTTTTACCGCATGTCCTCATGAGAGGAAGGGGCGTCTGAAGAGGGGCCTGTGCTTCTCTTCCCAGTGAGACTTGTCGCTGCCCCAGTGGGCGGTGGTTCCCACCCACCCCTGCCTCTCTCCTGGCGGTCAGGGGAACTGAGGAAGGAGAGTAAGAGGAGGTCACTTGTGAGGGTGGGGTCACCTTCCTCACAGGTCACCATCCTTTCATCCCCTACATGGCTTCATGAACCCCTTCTATGTTCCAGGGGTTCCGTATCGCCCCCAGGAGGCTGCCTCCCCAGAGTGTGATGGGAGGAAACAAGTGGATGACATCTCCGGTGCAGGGGGACACAGGAACTAGTGGGACCGTGGAAGACAGGCAGCCACTCACGCCCCGGGGAGCCCCTGAGGCAGGACTGCCAGGAGGCAGTGAGGCTCGCACTGCCTGTTGGAAGAGAGAGCAGCTTTTCATGGTGACTGGGGGGGATCAGACCAGCAGAAGGAGCAGGTGGGCAAAGGGGAGGGTCCCGCTCGATGGCACCAAGGGTGCGTGTGAGTGGGTGACAGGCAGTGGGGGGGGGGGGGGGGGGGGTGTTGTTTGAGAGGGACTTCATCAGGCTGTGGTGTGGCTGTGTCACAACAGCCCTGAGAAGCAGGCAGCATGGGGAGCTCACGGCGCTGGTGGGACAGAGAAGGGGGGCACTGTGAGCTGGGCAGGGAGAGCAGTTAGGTGGCTGAGGCAGGAGGCAGGCGGGAGCAGAGGCCAGGCGGTCAGCGAGGCAAGAGTGACAGGGAGCACCTTCAGAGCCGGAGGCGCAGTCGGAGTTGGTGACTGGACGCTGCTGGCTGGAAGAGGGAGGAGTTGTGGGTCCCGCAGTCTTCCTTGAGCTGGAAGGCCCCTGAGACCCTGCTGAAGCAGCCAGGTGCATCCTGGGCAGCTGAGGCCCTGAGCTGGCTACGTTCAGTGGCCACCAACCTCCTTCCAATCCCTGAGGGCCAGACAGATGGGGGTATTCTCTGCACACCTTAGGTTGTGTGAAAGCAGAGAAGTCCTGAGATGAGGCTCCGCTCCTCCCTGCTTCTCCCCTGGACAGGGAGAAAATAGCAGGCCCTGGGGTTCTAATTACGTGGTAGACCAGACAGAAGGGCTGAAGAAGCGGCAGCTCACCTTCCTCACTGAAGCGTTTTAACTCTTGCAAAGGCTGACAGAACTTCCCACGTGGGTCTCCAGCAGATGTCCAGCTGCCCGAGGAGGCGCCCCACTCCCACCCCTCAGCTGTCACCTTTGCTGTGTTTGGCTTTCAGATGAAAACAGCAACCAGAGTTCGGTGTCGGACGTGTATCAGCTGAAGGTGGAGAGCAGTACCAACTCGAGCCCCAGCCCCCAGCAGAGCGAGTCCCTGAGTCCAGCACACACGTCGGATTTCCGCACCGACGACTCCCAGCCCCCGACTCTGGGCCAGGAGATCCTGGAGGGTGAGGCGGGGTGGAAGGGCCTTGATGCTTGCTCTCATTTCTCCTTCCTAGAGGAAGAGCTTCCAGAGTGTTCCTCAGTGCCTCTGGTCACCACCAGTTTGGGATGCGTTGGGGAATGAGTATCCGCTTCCCGCCAATGGGAGGACAGAACTAAGCCAGCCTCTGTCTAAGGCACTTTTCACAGTGGGTGCCAGAGACAGTGGGGAGATGGGGTCTCAGAGAAGTTAAGCTGCCTGTCCGAGACTAGACTGCCCAGGGCAACTGGACGTCAGTTTTAAAAGCCCTGGAGGCACGCTGCTAACCTGAAGGTCAGTGGTTTGAGTTCCCCCAGCCGCTCTGCAGGAGAGAGATGAGGCTGTCCGGTTCTGCAAAGATTTACAGCCTTGGACGCCCCATGGGGTAGTTGGATTCCATCCAGGAAGGTTACCTGAGTCAGAGTCAGCGTTTCTGCCCTTTGCAGGATACCCTGCAGATCTCTGGTCAGGACACAGCTACAGTGCAAAGGTGTACAGGGGCTTCAGGAAGTGTGTGGAGGAATGGAATTATCATATTGGAGCTTCCCCACAAACGTTCTAAAGCTCCCGTGCGTGGCTCTCTTAGACCACAGGCTCCAAAACTTACCTGCCCCGTGTACCCCCTGTTCCAGGGAAGAACAAAATCACAGGGTGCCCTCTTGGCCATGAGGAGCTTTTGTACTACAATCCACAATGCTGGATAAAATGTGGGTGCCTGCTTTTGCAGCCCCAGGACGTTCCAGTGCCCCTGGGGGTGGTAGCACCCACTTTGGGAAACCCGGTCTTAGCCACAATTGAGCATGTTTCCCTGTTGGCCCTGCTGGTCATATTTACTGTGTGCTGATTAGCATCCAGACACAGATCTAAGTGCCGCCTGTGGACATGTTTTTGCCTCCTCATGGCCACCCTCTTGTGGCGCTGAGCCACTGGGCTGAGCTGCTGAGCCGGCTTCAGGCGCCTGCCCAGTAGAGCCCTTGGCCCAGCATGATCCAGCAGCAGTGCCTGTCACCTCCAGCATGCATCCCCCTCCCTCCTTCAGAAGTTGGGTTTGCAGGCCAGCGTTCTTCCCTGGCCACCAGGTCCCCTCCCCATCACCCAGAGGAAAACTACCCCCCAGGCTGTGGTAGAGCTTCCCTGGGTGGCTCCAGCCGCCTCCATAGGGCCTGTGGTGGTGACTGCTGTCTGCCCTGCCTTTGCAGAGCCTTCCCTGCCTGCCTCCGAAGTGGCTGATGAGCCGCCCACCCTCACGAAGGAGGAGCCAGTCCCGCTGGAGACACAGGTCAGGAGGCCCTTTGGTTTTCCTGCATTCTGAGAAGAAAGGAAAGGGCTTTGTGGGTGAGAAATTGGACCAGCAGCCCTGGCTGTGCTGTGGGAGGCAGCGCGGGGACTAGGGGTCGGGGCTGGGTGTCCAGGTGGTAAGGCCAGAAGGAGTTTGATGACCTGTGAGAAAGGAGAGGGGTGCAACCAGGGTGGGCTCTCAGTAGTTCTGGCACAAAGTGCCCTGGCATCTCTCTCTAAGGTCCCAGAGGAAGAGGAAGACTCCGGCGCCCCGCCCCTGAAGCGCTTCTGTGTGGACCAGCCCGCAGTGCCGCAGACAGCCTCCGAGAGCTAGCACCGCTGCGCCCTCTGCCTCCTGGCCCCCCTGCCTCTATTTATTGCATTCTGGTTCTGGCCATGCTGTGTTGCTGGGGTACGGGCAAGCACTGGGGTCCAGAGCCTGCACTTCTGAGCTGGAAGGCTGACATACGACTTGGGGTGGGAGCAGCATCTTCCCGTCCCGACACCTGTGTCCGCTTGCGCCCGAAGAGAGGAGAAGTCACGTCCCTGTTGCACCCTGCGTAGGCTGGCACGTCGGCCACCTCCAGGCTCAAGGAGCTCCTCCAGGGAGCCGATCTGCTGTGGAGCCTCTGGACCGGCCGAGCTGCTGCCGCTTCACGAGAGGAAGGAGATGGATGTGGAGGGCCGCTGCAGACTTGAACTTGACTGGAGACTCGGTTCATTGGTGGGCTGGCCTGTCGGGCTGCTGTTGGAGAAGGACTTGGAGGGGAAGGGCTCTTCTCCAGATGGAGGCAGAACGCTCTCGGTGCTGAGGTGGCCCTGCCTCCAGCGGGCGCTTGCGCTGCTGACAGTCCTTTGTCCCCGCTGGAGCTTTTTCTGTCCCCCAAATGCACACTTCTTCACCTGTACATTTCACTCTGGCATTCCCCCAGCACTGTGCCACACACTGCCCCAGCAAGAAGGCGAGGCTCAGACAGCAGTCCCCTTGCCCCCCTCAGACTTTCTAGAAGGTTTCCTTTTCTTTGAAATCTGCATGTTTAATTAAACTTGGTGATTTTTATTTTTTGTTTCAAAAAAAAAAAAGTTTAAGAAAAGAAATGGGCAACAGTGAGTGAAGACATATTTTAGCACTGCATAGAATATTTTTAAAATTAAAATGACTTGAAATATGTGTTGTTGGTTGCTATATGCTTCTGTGTGGGGGCTGGGGCTAAGCGGTGGTGACTGGGTGCTTGGGAAGTCACAGAGGGTGTGGCCTTGGGGACACTTTTTAATGCAAATGATCTGGAGACTCCCTGGAAAGGGTCTTGTAGTTTCTCTTCTACTTCTGTCCTGTGAACACGACGCCACCAGTGGCCTTACGTATTTCCACAGCCCGAAGTCCTTACGAGGGAGTCTTGGCTCTCTTTCAGTTACCAGCTTTATTGGCATGTCATTCACACCCATTTCAGTGGTTTCACTGTATTAAAAAGAACTGGGCCGTCATCCCCACCACCCTAGCAGTCTCCTCACTCTTGTGCCGTTAGCAGCTTCCCACAACCCCAAACCTCCCCTGCTGCAGCCGAGGAGCCATTCTCCGAGTTACTGTCTTTATGGGCTCCTCCGTGTGGAGTGCATAGAAAGAAAACCATTCAAAACCGCAACATAAAGCAGGAAAATCGCAATCCATGTGAGAAGTGTTAGGTTTCGGGGTTCGTTTTCTCCCGTTCTTGCTTGACGCTGGAAGAATTCACGCAGCAGTACTTTTGTAATCCAAGGAACTTTTATGAGGGAAAGGGAAGTTTCCGGTATTGCAGTCTCGGATAGTACACGCTACCCCTGGAAAGTGTGCGGGGGCTGCATGCGGGGATGGTGGGGGAGTTTGAGACTGAAAATGACCACGTCAGGGGAGCGCGCAAAGCCAGGTGGAAAACAGCTGGAAAGAGGGACATGGAGGCGGAGAAAAGGAAGCCAAGAGAGAGGAGCAAGCCCTAGGCATGCAGTGCACATGGGGGATCCCGCCCTCCAACCTGAAAGAGGCCTGCCCTCAGTCTGCATTTTATCCCCTCTGACCCCCACGTGCAGGGGGCCGGGCATGGTTGAGGATATTGGCCATTCTTAGTGGCTGAGTTCAGGTGCATGTGCAACAATGTTGCTGGTGCCTGGTGTGCCTGCCGACGTTGACCTTCACCTGCCACCTAAGTGACTGCTCTGAGCATGCCTACTTTTTGCTTAGAATAAGCATTCAGTGGAGCCAAATCCCTTATCCCTAATCTTTCAGCCCTTCAAAAGCAGAGGGCAAGAGAACTAGAAACAAATTAAAAATGGGTCAAAAGGAAAAACAAACGATAATATGTCACATATTAACCTAACTGTATCTGCAGTAATTCACTTTCCAGTGCACTCTGAAGGCAAGACCATTCACATCCCCGGTCAGTGGTCTGAGGGATCCAATGGAAGTTTAATCCAAGAGGGGATTCTATAAATGGATCCTGGGTTTTTACTGCCATCCATACCCCTCTGTGCAAATAGGGTAGTCAGAGTCTAAAGCTTCAATACGATTCCCTCCTCTGACCCTGGATTTTACCATTTACAATCCTTGGATCACATGGCTGGTGCACACCTGCAGTGTGGACTCAGTCGAAACCTTACTTAGATGACTGCCACTTCTAAGACAAGACCTCACACACCACACTCGTTCCACTAGCCAGGCACCATCTGACTTTTTCACCCCACTTTGCTATAGGACTTACATCTCCAGCGATCATTTCATGAGAGCAAGTATTAAGCAGAGGCATGTCGTAAGAACAGATTGTTATTAGACGAGGTTCATGATTAGGTGTGAGCTCAACATTTATTCTTAGCTCTAAAGTATACATACATATCTCTGGTCCATTTTAGAGGCAGCATTATCAGCTTCTGGAAAAGGGTTTATTTCTGTGTGTGTGTGTGTATGTGTGTGTGTGTCTGTGAAAATACACAGAAAATTGACCATTTTGAAGGGTACAACTCAGGATGTCCTGCAAGCAGCACCACTATCATTCCAGAACTCTGTACTCCTTAGCAGTCCTTCCACATTCTGTACCTTGTCAAACCAAAAGTCAACTCACTGCCATCGAGTCAATGCTGACTCTTAGCAACCCTATAGGACAGGGTAGAACTGGCCCTATGAGTTTTGGATACTATAACGCTTGACTGGCGTAGAAAGCCTCATCTTTCTCCCAAGGAGCAGATGGTAGTTTTGAACTGCTGACCTTGCAGTTGCAGCCCAAGGCGTAACCACTATGGCTCGGGGGCTCCTGCTCAACACCTAGACCCCTGGAAATCTCTGACCTGCTTCTGTCCCTACGCTCCTTCTTGTTCTTGAGGCCTGAAGAAAGTGACTAGAGTAGTGGATGAAAATAATCCTGTATTCTATGTTGTCAAAAATGGTCATTACAGTGTGATATTCCCCAAAGTGAGGCCAATGACTTCTCTGATTTCTCAGGGGGCATTCAAGGCTCTGAGTTCGGCTGCCTTGTTTGGTCATCCCTAGCAAGGTTTGTTCTAGAAATCAAATTCACATGAATGTCACCGATACTGGAATGATCATAGGTGGCACGTAAGTATGTTTCAATAAAGATGAGTTTAAATATATATATTTCAAGTACAATAAAGGTCTAAAAGACCACAAAGAATTACTAGGCAGATTTAAAGAAGAACCAGATAGATGGAGTTTCTATAAGTGAGAAACAATTGTTGAAATCAAATGCCACAAAAATCAAAATTCAAATTTACTGTCACCCAGGCAATCCTGACTTGCAGCAACCCCCCTGTCTTCCTGAGGGACAGGGCCCTGACCATCTGTGTTCCCAGGCTGCTGACTCCCCTTGTGATTTCTCTCTTGTGAAGCACTCTGGTGGAGTGGTTACGGGAGTAGAAAGCCTCATTTTTCTCATCTTCAAAACCACCAGCCTGCTCTGTCAGAGAAAAACGAGGCTCAAGGCTCGCTATTCCCATAAAACAGTGACAGTCTTAGAAACCCTCAGGGCAGCTCTACCCTGTCCCACAGGGTGGCTAGAAGCTGGAATTGAGGAGATGGCAGTGAGTTTGAGGATTCAGGGCATCAGCAGCCTGGCATCACAGACAGGAAGCCCCATCCCTCAGGACTTCTACCTGGGACCAAACACACTCTCACTGAGTCGATGCTGACTCATAGCGACCCTATAGAGCAGGGTAGAACTGCCCCTGTGGCTTTCTGAGACTAATTCTTTTTAAACTTTTTAAATTTATAAATCATTTTATTGGGGGTTCTTACAGCTCTTATAACAATCCATACATCAGTTGTTTCAAGCACATTCATACATAGGTTACCATCATCGATTTCAAAATATTTTCTTTCTGTTTAAGCTCTTGGTATCAGCTCCTCTTTATTTTCCCTCCCTCCCCAACTCTCTCACTCTTACAGACCCCTGATACATTATAATTTTTTTTCATATCTTACACCACCCACTGTCTCCTTTCGCCCGTTGTCCGTCCCCCTAGGCGGGGGTGCGGGGTGGGGTGGGGTGTGAATTCGTTATTGTAGAATACTAACTCTACAGGAGGAGAAAGCCTCATCTTTCTTCGAGAAGTGGCTGGTGGTTTCCAACTGCTGACCTTGTGGTTAATAGCCCAACTTGTAACCACTAGGCTACCAGGGCTCCAGACAGAATACAGGGCTAGGAAGTGCTGATGGCCAGGCTCAGAGGGACATCTAGGATGAAGGAAAAGATACAGTAGAAATTACGCTGTCCTTTGGTAGACTACTAGCAATTGGTAAACACTCTCCTCAGAAATTCAGGTAGCCACCTCCACCATGAACCAGAAATATCGGTGCAATAGGCATTAGGAGGATGAAGAAAAAGAAGAGGTACAAATCTGGCTAGACCAGAGGATGCACACGGGTACAGACAGGAACTGGAAACACAGGGAATCCAGGACAGATGACCCCCCTTCAGGACCAGTGCTGAGAGTGGCGATACCGGGAGGGTGGAAGGAAGGTAGAGTAGAAAGGGGGAGCCGATTACAAGGATCTACATATAACCATCTCCCTGGGGGATGGACAACAAAAAGTGGGTGAAGGCATACATCGGACAGTGTAAGATATGACAAAATAATAATAATTTATAAATTGTCAAGGGTTCATGAGGGAGGTAGGAGGGGAGAAAGAGGGGGGAAAAGAGGAGCTGATATTAAGGGCTGGAGTAGAAAGCAAATGTTTTGAGAATGATTATGGCAACGAATGTACAAATGTGCTTGGATGGATGGATTGTGATAAGAATTGTACAAACAAATGGATGGATGGATGGATTGTGATAAGAATTGTACAAACCCCCAATAAAATGATTTTTTTAAAAAAGAAGAAGAAATGAGAAAGAAGAGGAAAATCAAGACTGGCCACAGGTTATAAGTAACCTGTGAATGGCTTCCGGGTAGTAAGTGCATCTGAATTATTCAGGGAAAGGCGTCGGATGCCCATCTAACCAGATACACTGATTATGGGTAAGCACTGACAAAGTTCAACGGTACTTTGGTGAGATAGAGGAGGGAGAAAGGCTTAGGTGCTGTGGGTGGTGAGATTAAAATCCAGAGGAGAGTCTTGGAGGCTGGAGATTCTAAGAGGGATTGTGGGAGAGCTGGCCTCTGAGTGGGGCCTTGGAAAACAGGGGTGGATGAGAGGAGATGGGCTAGAAGGGTGGGGCTCAGGGCAGAGGGGAACAAGAGCCAGTCTTCAGAGGCAGGAGAACCAGCCTCTGTGCAGAGAGTGGCCATGTAATTAGACTTTTTATGTGGGAGAATTTCCAAGCCACAGAAAGTTGACCGAATAGTTCAATGAGCACATATCGACCCTTCAAATGGAGGCCCCCCGTGACTCACATTTTGCCCCACTTACTTTACTCCTCAGCAGAGATCCTTTCCCTTTTGGCTGAAGTCCGTGCAAACACCTCTCATCAATGCAACACTTTCCCCCTAAAGGCCTGAGCTTGTATCTCCTAACAGACAAGCGCCTAGGAGGCCTGGTGGGGTTGGGGGTGAGATATTGAGCTGCTAACCTCAAGGCCGACAGTTCAAACCCACTAGCTGCTCTCAGGGAGACAGATACAACTTTCTACTCCTGTAAAGAGATCATCTCAGAAGCCTGCAGGGGGCAGTTCTACTTTGTTGGATAGG